CAGAACCCTGGGATCATGACCTGAGCCGAAGGCAGACGTTTAACTGTCTGAGCCACCCAGGCGTCCCCAACCTCCTTTTTTTTTTTAATTTTTAAGATTTTATTTATTCATCTGACAGACGCAGCAAGAGAGGGAACACAAGCAGGGGGAGCGGGAGAGGGAGAAGCAGGCCTCCTGCGGAGCAGGGAGCCCGATGGGGGTTCGGTCCCAGGACCCCGAGACCACGACCCAAGCCGAAGGCAGATGCCCAACAACTGAGCCACCCAGGCGCCCCCCCCTTTTTTTAAGATTTTATTAGGCTCTGTTTTCTAATTCTGGAAGCTTATCTCCTATTACACTGAAGTCTGCCAGCACTCTACCACTGCTGATTAATAACAAGACTTGGAGGAAGCATGTCTCTGCTCCTTTGACATGAGTTGCTGTATAGAGAAACAGAACCAATAGGATGTAGAGATACAGATAGACAAGGATAGTTGTTAGAGGAATTGGCTCACGCGATAGTGGAGGCTGAGAAGTCCCACCATCTGCCATCTGCACGCTGGAGAACCGGGAAAGCCGGTGGGCAAGGCCTGACGATTACGGAAGCTGATGGTGCTCCCGGTTCAAGTCTAAAAGCCCAAGAACCAGGAGCACAATGTCTGAGGGCAGAAGCTGGAGGTCTCAGCTCAAGTGAAGAGCGAGCAAAATTGCCCCTTAACTGCCTCCTTCCGTTCAGGCCCCACGTGGGTTGGATGATGCCCACCCAGATTTGCAAGGGCGACCCTTACTCTACCAGTTCTCTTCTGGAAACGCTCTTAGAGACACACCCAGAGATAATGTCCTACCAGGCATCCGGGCGTCCCTCAGCCCAGTCCAGTCGATGTAAAATTAACCATCACTGTCGTTCAGCTGCCTCTTGTCAGCTGAGTTCTCAGATGCCCTGAAAAGTCTGCTTTTTGTAGGACACCTGAGGGATGCCATAGCTAGGATACAGCAGTTTCTGGTCACCACCGCTCCCGCTCCGAGACTTGGTAAGTAAGGACTCACACCTGTGCAGAAAAACCTGCTTTTTGTAGGAGTGATCTGGGAAAGGAGGGGTGTTGTCTTATTTTCACTACAGGCACTTTGTTCTCTAGGTGGCAAGTGCCAACAGACACGTGTCTGAATTCATGCAGAAACTGAGAGCGCAGCAGTGGGGGGCACACCCCCCTTCCCCAGCCTTGTGCCTCAGGGGAGTGGGCTGATTCCGCTTCCCTGCACCCAGTTGAGGGGCAGCGGGCCTCACTGGTAGATTCATGTTCACATTTCCCACTCTGCCGTGTAAAACCAAGGTTTGACAAATAACGTGATTTTATTTATTTTTAATTTTTTAAAAAGATTTTATTTACAGGGGTACCAATGAACAGGTTTTAAAAGAAAACCCAGGGGTGCCTGGGTGGCTCAGATGGTTAAGCATCTGCCTTCGGCTCAGGTCATTATCCCAGGGTCCTGGGATTGAGCCCTACATCGAGTCCCACATCGGACTCCTGGCTCAGCGGGGAGCCTGCTTCTCCCTCTCCCTCTGCCCCTCTCCCTGCTCATGCTCTCTCTCTCTGTGTGTCTCAAATGAATGAATAAAATCTTTAAAAAGAAAAAAAAAAAAAAGAAAACCCAGGACTTTTTGGTCGTGCTAATAGCCATATCAAAATACTTAAACTGTGAAAAAGATGACACATTTTTCCCACTGAGAAAGGAGGAGGCCTCCACAGGATTTCAGCCCTGGGGTGTCTTACTCCCCGGGGCAGGTTTCTCGGCCTGAACTGTTCTCATCTGAAATGAACTGGGCATTTTCATCCTTTTTCTGGATCTCCCTTCCTCCTCCCAACACACTAAAACCCAGGGCACTGAGTAGTGAAGTGGTCAAGGTCAAGTCTGAGAGTGAAGTGCTAGGTATTTTGCCACTTTCATGGTCAAAGGACAAACTCACGGCTAACCTACAGGAAGCTGATGGAAAAAATCATTTTTTTCATGTAATATTCACCATATTAAGTGATGTGTTAAAATAAAAAGGTTGGTTCCAATTTCCGAGGACCCTTTTTAGAGACCATGTGACAAATTCAGGGAATTAAAGAGTCTCAGAGTACGGGGATTACGTTCAACCCCAATACACGATATTCTCCTGGAACCAAAGTGTGGTGTTTGATTACAATGCTCTCGTTAAGAGAATCCCTCACATAGGAAAAAGAGGAGACGCTGATTTTAACAAATTCCAACAGTATTACAGTATTAACAGTACTTACTTTTATTTTACTTTTTTAAGATTTTGTTTATTTGACAGAGACAGAGGGAACACAAGCAGAGGGAGTGGGAGAGGGAGAAGCAGGCTTCCCACTGAGCAGGGGGCCCGATGTGGGGCTCGATCCCAGGACCCTGGGATCATGACCTGAGCCCAAGGCAGACGTCTAACGACTGAGCCACTAGGCGCCCTGGTACAGGGCTTTTTTGAAGGTATTATTTCTGAAGCTGTGGGGGGCATTTCGTGTTACACTTGGAGTTGGCAGATGAGGTCAAATGTGTGAAAAGGTCAAGCTTTTTTTTTTTTTAAAGATTTTATTTATTTATTTGAGAGAGAGAATGAGAGAGACATAGAGCACATGAGAGGGGGGAGGGTCAGAGGGAGAAGCAGACTCCCTGCTGAGCAGGGAGCCCGATGTGGGACTCGATCCCGGGACTCCAGGATCATGACCTGAGCCGAAGGCAGTCGCTTAACCAACTGAGCCACCCAGGCGCCCAAGCTTTACTTATTTTAAAAGATATTATTTTAAAATATTTTATTTATTTATTTGAAAGAGAGAGAGCACAGAGGGAGAGTGAGAGGGAGAAGCAGACTCCCTGCCAAGCAGTTATTAATTTGTCAGAGTGAGCACACACAAGCAAGGGGAGCAGTTGAGGGAGAAGCAGGCTCCCCACTGAGCAGGGAGCCCAATGCGGGGCTCGATCCCAGGACCCTGGGATCATGACCTGAGCTGAAGGCAGACGCTTAACTGACTGAGCCACCTAGGCGTCCCAAGTTGTTCCTTTATTACGTGGCCTTTATTAATCTGGACACATTTCAGGGGTATATTCTCACCTCCCTCTGAAGGTGAATGAGTGGAGCAAGCCCCAGTGGATGGGATACTCCTGCCCTGATAATGTGTATTTAGTGAACCAGAGTCATTTTAATGGAGCTGCCTAATTTGGGGGGAATGAATGGGGTGTGAAGCAAAGCCGCCGGCCCCCCACCCGTCCACCACCTGTCTGTCATGTGAGGCTCACTTTTGCCACAAGAGGGAGCCACATGTCCACTTAGGGAGTGTCCCTTCAGGGACGACCTTGGTTTGGAGTTTTTTTTGGTTGTTTATTTTATTTATCCGAATTTGAACTCAAAAACTAACATAAAAATGCTGGACTTAATTCAGTTTGGTGTGGTTAAGCTCAGAGAGCGTGATTTATCAAACCTTACAACAAGATTTAACTCTTGAACTCAACACCCGTAGATGGTGCTTTAAAACAAAAAGATAAATGTGTTGGAAACATTAATTTGATGGGTTTATTTTTATTTTTTATTTTGGACAGTGACTTTCAGTATGAAAACACATTTTCTTTTTTTTTTAAGTAGGCTTCACGCCCAGTATGGAGCTTCACAGGGGCTTGAACTCACAAACCTGAGATCGAGACCTGAGCTGAGATCAAGAGTCAGACGCTTAACTGACTGAACCACCCAGGCGCCTCTGAAACCACATTTTCTCACAGTATCGAGAAGAGCAGTGGTTTTGTTCTGAGGGAGCTTGTCAGAGAATTCGCTTCTACCCAGGGATGCACACAGCCTCCCGGGCAGCTGAGCCCCAATGGGTCCCTTCAGATTGGTCGGGTCGTGGGTCCGTGGTGACTCAGCTTGGGCCACAGTGGGCTCGTCCTGAGCCTGACCCATGTGTGAGAGCCTCTTGGAGACCCTGACAGGGAAATTTGCCACAGGAATCAGTCAAGTTTTCACTGGAGAAATCACAACTTTAGATTTCTTTTTGTGGCTCTTGGTGAAATGCTTTTAAAACGTCGGATCCGTTAAAATATTGGGAAGTACTATTGTTCTGTATACTGCTCTTCCAGTGCCTTTTTGTAAAAGATCTGTCAGGGACTTTTCCTAAATGATAAATTGGGATAATAGAGCACATATAAATAGCAGATAAGCTATTTAATTTCTTGGAAATGTTCTGAGTACCACTTAGGACTTACTAAAATAAAGCAGTTTATTTGAATAAACTCCAGGCTTCCTTTGTTAGATGTTTCCGTTTACTCTCTTGGGGAAGAATTGCTAGGATGTCGCTCCCTTTCTCCTGCTTGATTCAGAATGTAGTTATTCAGAGCCGCTTACATACATTTTGCAAGGTCACCAAACCTGACATGGTTTTTTAAAATAAAACTCATCTTCATGTTACGGAGCTCCTATTTTTATGCACATGGTTCGCCAGATTGGCTGTTGTTGTAAGATGCTTCAGAATGAGGATGTTTTATTAAAAAAACTAACCATCATGTCCTAACTCCAAAGACCTTTTCAGCGGCCATCAGGCAGTTGGCCATTCCGATAGCTAACAGCCATTCATTGAGTCCCCACCCATGCCTAGGGGCGAGGCAGTGACTACTAGTTGAATGCTCTCTGAAATCCTCAGAACTATCCTGAAACACAGTGGTTTTCATTTCAGGACTGAAGGAGACACGAAGGCGAGAGAGCATAGCTGCTAACTGGCAGAATTACGATTTAACCAGTTTGCTGGGCAGGTTTTGTTTTTTTTTTTTCCTGGTCACATCCCTTCAAGATAGTCATTCAACATCCAGGAAATATTCACCGGGCGTCTACTGTGTAAGGCATCCTCTTAGGTGTTGGAGACTCAGCGGAAAGTAAAACCAAGCCCCAGGGGCGCCTGGGTGGCTCAGTCAGTAGAGCACGGGACTCTTTTTTTTTTTTTTTTTTTAAGATTTTATTTTTATTTATTCATTAGAGACAGAGAGAGAGAGAGGCAGAGGGAGAAGCAGGCTCCCAAGGAGCAGGGAGCCCGATGTGGGACTCGATCCCAGGACCCTGAGACCACGACCTGAGCCGAAGGCAGACGCTTAACGACCGAGCCACCCAGGCGCCCGAGCACGGGACTCTTGATCTCGGAGTCGTGAGTTCAAACCCCAAGTTGGGCGTAGATACTACTTAAAAAAAATACGACCAAGCCGGCTGTCCTCTCAGAGCCGAGCAGTTCATACTGGTTCCTCATTCAGTAATGAGCGAAAGAAGCAAGGTACAAGCAGGTGTGAATGGGGAAGTGGAAGGTCTTTGCTGTTAAAAAATACCTATATTTGCTATTTGACTTTCTGATTGTGAAAATGAGAAAGGTCCCACCAAAGAACCCGGGTTTTGTCTAGAGAGGATGACACTGCTAACTGGTATTGGCGAGGTCTCCAAGGATGAAAGCCAGGTCCCCCCCACTTTGTCTTGAATCTTTCCTAACCTCAGGCTGTATCACGGCCATGTCAGCCTCAGACTTTCTTTTCTTTTTTTTTTTAAGATTATGCACGTATGTATGTATGTATTTGACAGAATGAGAGAGCAGTCTCCTGAGATGAGGAATGAGAGAGGCAGAGGGAGAAGCAGGCTCCCCGCCCAGCAGGGAGCCCGACGCGGGGCTCGGTTCCAGGACCCCGGGATCATGACCTGAGCCGAAGGCAGACGCTTAACCGACCGAGCCACCCAGGCGCCCCAGCCTCAGACTTTTTTTAAGATTAAAAAACAAAAAACAAAAAAACAAAAAACAACTTGAATGAATCTAAAGTTGTGAAAATTATACTGGTGCTACCCAATACAGCAGCTCCTACCGCATGTGACTACTTAAATTTTAATTAAAATAAATTGAAGAAAAGTCCAGTTCCTCACTCATACCAGCCACCTTTCCAGTGCTTCGTACTTACCTGCAGCTAACAGCCATGGCAGTGAAAATGCAGAGAAAGAACATTTCTCTCATGGAAAGTTCTATCGGACAGAAGGTATGTCACAGACATACTTGTGACCATTTTGCTTCTTCGGGATACGAAGATCTTTGACATATTAGAGTGTGTGACTTTAGCTTTAACCACCCCTGGCCCCCCCTCCCATCAAACTAAGACAAAAACACTATTCTCTTGAAGTGGGGGGAAAGGGTATCACAAGTTTGCACATGATTTTCTGAGAGCTTTGCTCGACAAGAAGGGATTGTCTTAGTCTCTCACTTTGTATCGTGTATTCATGAGTGTATTAGGGTTCTGGAAAGAAAAGGAAGCAATAGTGTACAGAAGGCATAAAAGAGATTGATGATGGGCGTGGGCTTCTGCCATTTTGGAGGCTGACACGAGCCATGATACGCTCTTTGCAAGCTGGAGAAGCAGAAGAGCAGGTGACAGGACACCCCAAGACCAGAAGCAGGAGCTCCGGCAACTGAGGACAAGAGAAGATGCATGTCCCAGCTCAAGAAGAGGGAATCTGCCCTTCCGCTGCCTTTTTGTTTTATTCAGGCCCACGGCTGCCTGCCCACATTGGTTTGGGCAGATCTTTATGAGTCTACCGATTCAAATGCTAATCTCTCAGAAACACCCTCACCGGACACACCGGAAATAATGTCCTATCAGCAGTCTGGGCATCCTTAGCCCGGCCAAGTCGACACGTAAAATTTAACCATCACGGGGAAGCCCTTCACGACCCCAAGATCAAGAGTCGCATGCTCTACTGATTGAGCCGGCCAGGCGTCCTTCTCTCTCTCTGGAAGGAAGATGTGAAAGTTTAGCACAGTGCCAGGTACATGCAAGGTCTGGGACACAGAGTGGCATCCTCTCTTCATCTTTATAGGATTCTGTAGATTTAAAAATATACTTTAAAATGTAGAGCCGTTGGGCCCTCTCAGTTAAACTCTAAGCATTTTGTGGCCCAGTGGCAACAAGTTTTAAAGTCTCTTTCAACCCTGCACCTTTTGAAAACTGTCAGCTTCCGTGAGACTTGTCACCCCAGCCGGTGATGTTAGGGAAGGAGGGTGCACCGTGGTGTAGTACACTCCAAAGGAAAAACACGCACAGGTTGAAAGCCTGACCTTGGCTCTGGTCACGGGAGTTGATGATTCATGAGAACATCCTGTATGGCCCCCGTTCTAGAGCCACTTGGGGACTCAAACCGTGAGAGAGGACAGCGTGAGGAATCCAGGCAGGTCTTGGAGGCTGTTGTCCCCCTAGACCTGAGGGTTTTACCAAGGAATCTTTGAGCTCCTTCCAGTTTCCAGCTTGGTCTCCCCCTTGTCGCCTCCAAAAATAGAATTTGGAACTTATTCCCCATGTGACCTAATGCGTGTCACACTCGTGGGCAGGAAGTGAATGCTTTCCTGCCAGGCCCGAGCCGTCCCCAGGAGATGGTCTGGGAAGGAATGCCTTCTCTGTCCTACTTCACGACAGAATGTCAGCACGCTTATTGTAAGGCTACTTTCTTCAGTCCGAAAACACGGCATGCTCTTCAAAACGGCAGCAAAAGAGGTCAGATTGGCTAGATTCGGATGATCCTGGGTGTTTACGCTTCCTAAAGTATGGTCAGCTATTAGTAATCATGCCCTCCATCCTCTTGACCCCTGTTCTGGGCTCTGTGCGGCTCATAAAAATGGTGAGGTCGGCTCATTAGGGAAACACTCACATCCTCTAGACGATTAGAGCAGACAACAGAATTTGGCTCGTTGACCCAACGTACGGCTGACTGAAGCAGGCAGGCCATGGCTTGAAATGTTTGGCAATAGTAATTTGGGGTTTCCGGGATTTGCAGTAAGAATCGGACGTCCTCGGGGTGGCTCAGTCGTTAGGCGTCTGCCTTCGGCTCGGGTCATGATCTCAGGGTCCTGGGATCGAGCCCCGCATCGGGCTCCCTGCTCAGCGGGAAGCCTGCTTCTCCCTCTCCCCCTCCCCCTGCTTGTGTTCCCTCTCTCGCTGTGTCTCTCTCTATCAAATAAATAAATAAAATCTTAAAAAAAAAAAAAAAAGAATCGGACGTCCTCATTTCATCGTGACTGTGTGCCAGGGTGTAAGGATACACAGTGAGCAGGACCCGAGATAGTCTGGAACATCCACGGGTTGGGGAGGAAAGTGACACCCAAGCCCGTCATTAACTGCCTTTGCGTGTTGAGATCTCTCACAATGTCAGGTACTTAGTGTCCCTGAACTGTACACTTACAGATGCTTAATTTTATGTGAGGTATATTTTACTACCAAAACAAACCAAACAAAACTTAAAAAAAAAAACTTTTGAGGAGAAATGACCAAGGCTGTGGAGTCTTTTTTTTTTTTTAATATTTTATTTATTTGACAGAGAGAGACACAGCGAGAGAGGGAACACAAGCAGGGGAAGTGGGAGAGGGAGAAGCAGGCCTCCCGTAGAGCGGGGAGCCCGATGCAGGGCTCGATCCTAGGACCCTGGGACCATGACCTACTCCCCCTCTGGCTCTGGCTCTCTTGTTCCTGAGGGAGGAGTGAGGACACTGTTTGCCTAGCTACAGATCTTAACCCTCCGTATGGACTGAACTGTGCGCCACCCACCCCCATTCATAGCTTGAAGCCCGAACCTCCAATGTGAAGGTATTTGGAGACAGGGCCTTTAGGAGGTAGTTATTTTTAGATGAGGTCATGAGGGTGGGACCCCCACGATGGGATTACTGACCTTTCTTTCTTTCAATTCAATTAGTTAACATATAATGTATTATTGGTTTCAGAGGTAGAGGTCAGTGATTCATCAGTCTTATATAATACCCAGTGCTCATTACATCACGTGCCCTCCTTAATGCCTGTCACTCAGTTACCCCAACCCCCCACCCCACCCCCTCCAGCAACCCTCAGTTTGTTTCCTATGATTAAGAATCTTACGGTTTGTCTCCCTCTCTGATTTCGTCTTGTTCTATTTTTCCTTCCCTTCCCCTGTGCTCCTCTGTTTTGTCTCTTAAATTCCGCATATGAGACGATGGACTCTGAAAAACAAACAGGGTTCTGGAGGGGAGGAGGGTGGGAGGATGGGTTAGCCTGGTGGTGGGTATTGAGGAGGGCACATTCTGCATGGAGCACTGGGTGTTATGCACAAACAATGAATCATGGAACACTTCATCTAAAACTAATGATGTAACGTATGGGGATTAACATAAGAATAAAAAAAAATTCCACATATGAGTGAGCTCCTAGGATAATTGTCTTCCTCTGACTTATTTCACTTAGCATAATACCATCTAGTTCCATCCACATTGTTGCAAATGGCAAGGTTTCATTTTTTTTTTTTGATGGCTGAGTAGTATTCCACTGTGTGTGTATCTTCTTTATCCATTTATCTGTTGATGGACATCTGGGCTCTTTCCATAGTTTGGCTATTGTGGACATTGCTGCTATAAACATTGGGGTGTGGGTGCCCCTTTGGATCACTACATTTGTATCTTCAGGGTAAATCCCTAGTAGTGCAATTCTTGGGTTGTAGGGTAGCTCTATTTTCAACTTTTTGAGGAGCCTCCATACTGTTTTCCAGAGTGACTGCACCAGCTTGCATTCCCACCAACAGTATAGGAGGATTCCCCTTTCTCTGCATCCTCGCCAACATCTGTTGTTTCTTGACTTGTTCATTTTAGCCATTCTGACCGGTGTGAGGTGGTATCTCGTTGTGGTTTTCTTCCCTGATGCCGAGTGATGTGGAGCATTTTTTCATGTGTCTGTTGGCCATTTGGATGTCTTCTTTGGAGAAATGTCTGTTCATGTCTTCTGCCCATTTCTTGATTGGATTATTTGTCTTTTGGGTATTGAGTTTGATAAGTTCTTTATAGATATTTGGGCACTAGCCCTTTATCTGATAAGACATTTGCAAATATCTTCTCCCATTCTGTTGGTTGTTTTTTGGTCTTGTGGACTGTGTTTTTTTTTGCTGTGCAAAAGCTTTTTATCCTGATGAAGTCCCAATAGTTCATTTTTGCCCTTGCTTCCCTTGCCTCTGGCGATGTTTCTAGGAAGAAGTAGCTGCGGCTGAGGTCGAAGAGGCTGCCTGTGTTCTCCTCGAGGATTTTGATGGATTCCTGTCTCACATGTAGATCTTTCATACAAAAATATGAAATATGTCTTTCACACACAAAAATATGTGTGTGGTGTAAGGAAATGGTCCAGTTTCATTCTTCTGCATGTGGCTGTCCAGTTTTCCCAACACCATTTGTCAAAGAGACTGTCTTTTTCCCATTGGATATTCTTTCCTGCTTTGTCAAAGATTAGTTGACCACAGAGTTGAGGGTCCATTTCTGGGCTCTCTATTCTGTTCCATTGATCTATGGGTCTGTTTTTGTGCCAGTACCATACTGTCTTGATGATGATAGCTTTGTAATAGAGCTGGAAATCCGGAATTGTGATGCCGCCAGCTTTGGTTTTCTTTTTCAACATCCATTTGGCTATTCGGGGTCTTTTCTGGTTCCATACAAATTTTAGGACTATTTGTTCCAGCTCTGTGAAAAAAGTTGATGGTATTTTGATAGGGATTGCATTGAATGTGTAGATTGCTCTAGGTAGCGTAGACATTTTAACAATATTTGTTTTTCCAATCCATGAGCATGGAATGTTTTTCCATTTCTTTGTGTCTTCCTCAATTTCTTTCATGAGTGTTCTATAGTTTTCTGAGTACAGATCCTTTGTCTCTTTGGTTAGGTTTATTCCTAGGTATTTTATGGTTTTTGGTGTAATTATAAATGGGATCAACTCCTTAATTTCTCTTTCTTCAGTCTCATTGTTAGTGTATAGAAATGCAACTGATTTCTGTGCATTGATTTTATATCCTGCCACTTTGCTGAATTCCTGTATGAGTTCTAGTAATTTGGGGGTGGAGTCTTTTGGGTTTTCCACATAGAGTATCATGTCATCTGTGAAGAGTAAGAGTTTAACTTCTTTGCCAATTCGGATGCCCTTTATTTCTTTTTGTTGTCAACAAGGCATCTTTCTTGATTAAAACTCTTCACAGTGTAGGGATAGAAGGACCATACCTCAATATTATAGAAGCCATCTACGAGAAGCTCACAGCGAATATCATGCTCAATGGGGAAAAACTGAGAACTTTCCCCCTAAGGTCAGGAACATGTCAGTGATGTCCACTCTCACCACTGTTGTGCAACATAGTACTAGAAGTCCTAGCCTCATCAATCAGACAAGAAAAATGGATTAGTGTCTTTATAAGAAGAGGAAGAGACCAGAGTGCACTCTATTTCTCTGCCATGTGAGGACACAGCAAGTAGGTGGCCATCTACAAGCCAGCAAGAAGGCCCTCACCAAGAACAAACCTCCTGGCACCTCGATCTCGTATTTGGAGCCTACAGAACAGTAAGAAAGGAATGTCTGTTGTTCAAGCCCCCGGTCTGTAGTGTTTTGTTATAACAGCCCAGGATGACGAAGACACCCTCAGAGTGCAATGCGTGTTTCACTTGTAGGGATGTCTGCAGACCTGGGATGTCCTGACCCTCTGCTTCTCAGAGGGAAGGGTGCCTGAAGCACTGGTTGGTACACTTCTTAGAGAGTATGCCCCCCAAAATGCCAAGATAATCACCTCCTACCTTGCTGCTACAGAAGCCCATGGGGAGATCACAGAGAAACATACAGACATGACTACCTTTTCTCTATTATGAACTTTACAATGTTGTCTTGGCCCTCAAGCTTAGAGAAGGGAAGGAAACTAATTTGGCCTGGTGTCCATATATGGATGTCACTCTCTTTTTGGGGTAATAAAAATGTTCTAAATTTGATTGTGGCGATGGTTGCACGACTATGACTATACAAAAGCCATTGAATTGTACACTCTAATTTTTATTTATTTTTTAGTAATCTCTGTGCCCAACGTGGGGCTTGAACTCACAACCCCAAGATCAAGAGTCACATGCTCTTCCAACTGAGCCAGCCAGGTGCCCCGAATTGTATACTTTAAATGGATGGATTGTATGGTGTATAAGTTGTATCTCAATAAAGCAGTTTAAGTGAAACCAGTAATTCTATGCTAGAGTCAGTTAAAGGGGAGGAATGAAGAGAGTAATGGGATGGAAGCTAGGGAAGCCTAAGTTACAGACAGACATGCCACACTCAGTGGTTCTTAGCGTGGGGTGGGGGGGTAGCTGGACTGACCCATAGGGGGCATTTGGAAATGTGGGTGTTGGTTGGTTGATTCCGTGACTTGGGAAGTGCCTTGGCATTGAGGGGGTGAGAGCCAGAGAAGCTAAACATCCTGCAATGCCTACATCAGTCCTGCACACTAAGAATTATCCCAATACTAGCACCCCATTTCCTACCCCCTCCCTCCAACCAAAAAACTTTGCTTGGGGGAGATTTCTTGACATTAGCATTTATGTATTTTAGTACTTTTCTACACAAGGCTTTGAAAAGCTCTGTTGCATTTTTGCAACCATAGGAATAAATTCACATCAGCTTCTATGCCCTCAGCTTTATGAGGTATAACTGACAAAATTGTAAGATATATATATATATATATTTTTTAAAGATTTTATTTATTTATTTGACAGAGACATAGCGAGAGAGGGAACACAAGCAGGGGGAGTGGGAGAGGGAGAAGCAGACCTCCCGCTGAGCAGGGAGCCCGATGCGGGGCTCAATCCCAGGACCCCGGGATCATAACCTGAGCCGAAGGCAGATGCTTAATGAATGAGCCACCCAGGTGTCCCAAAATTGTAAGATATTTAAAGTATAGGGACGCCTGGGTGGCTCAGTCAGTTAAGCATCTGCCTTTGGCTCAGGTCATGATCCTAGGGTCCTGGGATCGGCCCCCGCATCGGGCTCCCTGCTCAGTGGGGAGTCTGCTTCTCCCTCTCCCCCCCTGCTCATGCTCTCTCTCTAGCTATCTCTCTCTCAAATGAATAAATACAATCTTTAAAAATATATACATTGTGATAATTTGATATATATGTGTGTATATATGTATGTATGTGTGTGTGTGTATACACACGTATATGTATATAATGAAAGCATTTCCTCCCATCTA